AATACAATATCATTCACTAGGATCAGTTTATTCATAACTTTACTCACTTTTCAACATATTTCTGTAAAGCAGAATAAATATGCTTCCAATACGTAACATCATTTATCATTTTCCTTTAGACAAGTGCGTTAATTTTTCAAGGATTTATTATTATCGTTTTTTATTATTAAAAATAATTTTTTTACAAACAAAAAAAAATAAAAAAACTCATTTATTTAAAAGAAGATTAATAATATCTTCGTTCTTTGTCTGGAGTGCGACATCTTTAGCTGTGTGTCCTTCGCTGTCAACAACACTCAAATCGAGATCTTCACGAGAAAGGAGAACTTTGACAACTTCGATTTTTTCGTTTTCAATAGCGTTGAAAATAGGAGTTCGCTTCATCAAGTTCTGACGGTTGACATCGACATTTTCGTGTTGAAGCAACTCTTCGACGAAACTAGTTGAGCCGCATTTAGCGGCAACATGGAGAGGTGTCCACTGGATTGAGTCGACGCAGTTCAAGTCAACGTCATCTCGATCGGCGAAAAGACGGATTAAGTCTGAGAAATCATTAGATGCAGCGATGTGAAGAGGTGTGAAACTAGAATCATCAGGAAGTTGTGGATTGACATCTTTGTCGTTCAGAAGACACTCAACGCACTGTTTGTGGTGGAGAAGAACTGCGTAATGAAGAGCACTGCGATTCTTCTTGTCGACGATGTTCTTCTCGATGCCTGGAAAACTCAAGAGAAGTTCTAAAGCTTCGAAATGTCCGTCACGAGCTACCCGGATCAATGCTGTACGTGATGAGTTGTTAGTGGCATTGACATCAATGGATGGATCAGAAAGAAGAAGTCGCAGAACACATGTGTGACCATTAATTGCTCTCAACATAACACTTTAATTGTCAACATCTTCTTACAATTAAAGAATTCTGTAACAAATTCAATTTATTTGATTTATCAGATACTAATGTTTTAAAAAAGCATATTGTTTTGATCAATTTCATCTAATTCAATATTGCATTCTATTACTGCTACTAAACAATTCATTGTTTCGGCATATTCCATACAATTCGTATTTGTCAAAAAATTAAACATCAAATCCCAAATAGGATATAAATGATTTTTGTAGATACTAATTCTCGAAATTAATGTAGAGATGTTGGATATAAGACTAGTCATATATTAAGGGTGCACACGAGAGGATCATGTAAACTTCAGAATTTAGAACCTTATTTTTAGGCATTATCTTGGCTACCTATTTAGGCTCGAAAAGCAAAAAATATCAAAAAATACAACTTGACTCCATTATGACCCTTTCATGGAGGTAGTTTTTATCCGCTAGTATTTTCCCTTTGAATCTCTTTACAATTCGAAATCAAATTCAAATCTCAGTAGAAGAAAGGAAGAATCGACTTACTACGGTTGTAATACGCATAAATACATATATTTAATTATTTTTATTTACATAATAGTTGTTTGAAGCTCATATTCCATCAAATTTTTAAATAAAAACATTAAAATGTTGAAAATGTTCATATATTTTAATAGGGTTTTGGCACTTTATTGAGGAATTACTACATACATAGTCGAACTGAACTTGATATTTTGAAATTTAAATTATTTATCAAAATTAAAATTTAACTTGAAATTTATAATTATTTAGTCATATTTTGCATAATTCTAAGTAGATTTTGTAAAAAATCAAGAAAGAAAAATTTTAACGTGCTTTATTTTTTCTTTTTTATAATAAAAAAAAAAAAAGGTATTGGGGCTTCCAGGCACTTCGTGCCCTCTAGCCCCAGTCACTTTTCTGTCACTTTTCAGGGTAAAAACATTTTTATTGTATATAAAATGAATTTTACAAAACCACCGTTACCCTTCTTTGGAAATAAGAGTAGATGTAAAGATATTCTATTGAGAGAACTTAAGAAACTACCGAATGGTCTAACATTTGTAGATTTGTTCGGTGGAAGTTTCTATATATCTCATTTGTGCCATACTGTATTTCCTGACTCAAAGATTATATGCAATGACTTCGACAACTATATGAACCGTCTCAAACATATACCAGACACAAACAAAATATTGAAAGAGTTAAAAGAAAAGATACCTATAGGTAAGATGGAACGTATACCATTAGATAAGAAAATATTGTCAGAGAGGTTTTGAAAAAAGCAGAGTATATTGACTGGGATAGTATATCTTCTAGACTATTATATAGTGGTGCTATAAGAGTTCATGACATTGAAACACTTATGTCAAAGTTTTATATCTTAACTATACAAAGGTTTTCAAAGAGAACATAGAAAAATATACTGAGGTATAGAGTTTGTGAGATGTCGTTGGACAGAGTTGTATGAAAAATATAAAAACAAGGAAAATGTTTTCTTTATAGTAGACCCGCCGTTCTTTAACACATGGGATTTTCAATACCAAGTAGACTGGACTTTGAGAGACTCTTTAGAAACTTTAGACGTTTTACATAACCATCCATGCTTTTACTTTACATCCGATAAAAGTGGTTTGGAAACCGTTATGAGATGGTTAGAGGACATACATGACTATGAGTTTAGATATGACAAGATAGAATATGAGAGAGGTCCTATAAACCGGAGAAAGTGTCACAACAAAGAAATTTTATTGGTAAGTAAATGTGGTTTGAAATAGGACTACTTGTTTTAGGTTTTTTCCATTGTGTCATTTACTTATTTGACGTGGCAGAAAGATATAGAGAATATGAAGATGAACCAATACCAGCAAATGTTCAGCATATGTACTCGTAAGAGATATTTTTATCTAATTAAATGGACGCACAGAACTTAGCGAATGCACAGCAACCTGGACAACCAAACCCAGAGAATATTCCAAATGAAGTTAGAATACAAACTGCAATGGCAAACTATGGTCAAGTGCCAACAGATGTACAAATGCAATGCCATATGACGCTGCGTTAGGTTTGCCACCATGGTATGCAAATATGAGATGGAAAGAGTTTTACAAAACCCTGAAGTGGGATATAAACAACTCTATGCAGATGACGCGAACAGGAGTTGACCCAGAATATGTTTTCTACCAGAGAGAAATAGAATGTATGAGCTCCAGTTAAAAAATGCTATGGAACTCAGAAGGAAACGTAAGAGACTAGGCGGACATTAGATTTTTACATATAGTAAAATGGGTTTCTTCAGTAGTATTGGAAACTTCTTTCGAAATGTTGGAAGAGGTATATGGAATGGAATAAAAACCGTAGGAAGAGGAATTTGGAACGGTGTCAAAAATATTGGTAAAAGAGTAGGTCAGTTCGTTGGTATTATACCTAAAGACCCTGAACCAGAAGAACAAGCTCCTGTTATACAACAGCCTGAACCTGCACCACAGTCTAGTTGGCAACCAAATCCAGCACCTCAACCGTATTAAAAGATTATATTTTTACCGTTCGATAGTAGTTGTATATGAGACTAAGTTCTAAGTAAAACGCGTGTATAATGGAACTATTCTCTTTCTTCCATCTGTTGTAAACCATACTTGAAAGTCTGAAATACTTCCACTCGGTGTTCATATAGCTTTGTAGGTTTTTCGTAAAAGTTCATTTGCCAAGCATAAAAAAGAGTTTTGTGCACCAGAAAATGAAGCATGAACGATAATAGCATCTGAGTCGAAAACATTTTCATATGTTCCATTAGGGTTTTCGACTTCATAAAAGTTCGGGTGTACTGGATATGCTGCAGGCTGATTTAACATCCTCAAAAATCTATACCATGCCAAGTTGTTATATTTTGTAGAAATATAAACGTCTTCTCCAAGGTCTTCTATTCTATTGATTTTAACAGTTGCATTTTTCCTGTCATATATAATATCGAGATGGTACTCTCCTTCGTCAATGTTAAACTGGTTTGCATATTCGATATAGATATCGTTTATTTTTTCTTGAAAAGCTTGAAGAGTTGTTTCTAAGTTTACAAGCAAATTCACTTGCAAAAGTTTTCCCTGTTCAAATTTCTCATACGTACGTTTTTCTTTGTTATAGTATCGAACTTCAAAAGCGACCGTAAATGGGAAACCATGTATGGCTTCTGAAATGAACTTCATTCTACGAAAGCCAATAGCTTTTGTGACGGATGGGTCTCTTAACCATCTTAGTGGGTAGTCAAAACGATAGCCTTCATGTTTTACGGTCTCTGTCTCAAACTTTTGACCGACATTCGTAAAAAGTTCATCTAATGGTTTAGTTGTAGCAACTCTTGAATTTTCTTTTTCTATTGAAAGCATATTTTATCTAGAATAAAAATGTCGAAAGAAACAGCGTCTATGAGAGAAATACAACACAACCGACAACTCATTGTACAAGCTCTAAATAAGAACACAACAAACTTTTCAAACTATTCTAAGATATCTGAGTCATTGAAAGAAGGAAACTTAAAACTGACGATAAACCCAATGACAGATGAGTTTCTGTTTCAAGACAGTAAGAACCATACTGTCTGTGTAAATCCAACAAAAGGAACTTTAAACGAGAAGCCTATAAAAGAACTTCTTTTGAAAGCAGATGTTGACAACAAAGCTGACAAAGAGTATGTCATTGAAAAAGTTCAAGAAGAACATGACAGAGCAGATGCAACATATGCAACGAAAGAACATACTCATCCTGAACTAGCAGACAAAACATATGTTGACAATAAAATGTCAAGTGAAGTGACAAGAGCTGACAAAGAATATTCTAAAAAGACTCATACACATACCATTGCAAATATTACAAACTTACAAGAAACCTTAAACAGGAAAAGTGACGTTGGACATACACATTCTATATCTGAAATAACAGACTTAAACGTTAGCCTTGAAAAGAAAGCTGACAAAACATATGTCAACAGTGAGTTAGAGGAGAAAGTAGATAAGGGACTTATGGCTAGTGTGTTAGTGAAGAAGGCAGATAAGGAATATGTGGATGAAAAAGACAATGAAATTAAAGAAAGGGTTGAATGGTACCATGAACGGACAACAAAGATTTTAGAAGGTAAAGCCAATACAGGGTGGGTTTCAGGATGTTTAGACCTTAAAGCGGATAAGAACCATACACATACCATTGCAAATATTACAAACTTACAAGAAACCTTAAACAAGAAAAGTGACGTTGGACATACACACGATTTCTTCGCAACTGTTGGTATAGAAAATATTGCAGGAACGGTTGAAGAACCTGATGGAACTGGTGGGGATGTATTAAATTGGAAACCTCCTAACTTTCCACAAGGTTTAACATCGGATGAAGACATAACGACGATGAAATACACTAGATGTAGAAATGTTTTTGTCATGGAGGATGAAAACAAAGTTAAATTCACTGCTCAAGATTTATATGACAACAAAGCTGACAAAACATATGTTAACGATGAGTTAGATAAGAAAGCTGACAAAACATATGTTAACGATGAGTTAGATAAAAAAGCTGACAAAACAGAGCTTCAAACGTTAAAGACAGAAATACTTCAAACACTATATCCTATAGGTTCTATTTATACGTCAATGAACTCTACCAGACCAGAAGTAGTACTTGGTCTCGGAACTTGGACTCAAATAGTCGACAGGTTTTTGTATTGTGCCAACTCTTCAAAGGAAACAGGTGGAAGTAAAACGATTTCAGGTGAAAACTTACCTGCACACAGTCACTACATAGATTTAAGTACATCTGAAGCAGGTTGGCATAAGCATAGATTTTGGGATTGGTCAGCAATGAAAAAAGGTAAAGGATATGATGTTAAAGACGACGTTCAGTTTGCTATAAATTGTTTCTGGGGTAGCACACAGGGAGAAGGAAACCATACACATCGCGTTTCAGGGTATACGCAAACAACGGGACAAAGTAAAGACTACATGCCACCTTACATGACAGTTTACGCATGGTATAGAAATGCTTAGTCGTCATTTTCAACTTCTTTAGCATATTCGTCAGGAGTTGTCTTATATTTGTTAGGAACTGTCTTTGAAAGTATACCACCTTGAACTTTGACAAGTTTGAAACGAGGTCTGACAATAGTAGTTTTATCTTCTGCTTGCAGTCTGTACATTTTGCCATGTTTGCCTAAAACTTCATAATATTCTCTTGTATACTTTCTTCTATTTTTACGAACACGAACGTGAGTACCTGTCGAGTTCCCATTGTTGTCATAGTCAATAGTATTTTATATGGGTCGCGTTTAGGTATTTCTATTTTTACTTTGTCACCTTTCTTAAGTTTGAAGCCTGGCATTCTTTCTTGTTTGTCTCTTTTGACTAAACTATTAAATATAGTCTTTCTCTAAGTCGGGTTGTTTTTCATTTCTTCGGGGAGTGGTTTCCCAAACCTTTTGTTTACGGCTATTGTAAATATATTAAAACTTGTCTCATCTTTGCCATGGAGAAGTGTCTATATTTGTCGTCATATGACATTTCATCTACCTCACCACCTTGTGGTTGATTTAAGTCTCTTAAGATTTTTATACACTGTCAATGACACCAAGAGCAGAATGGTTTTGGTCGACAATGAAATATTGGTTTACATTTTTTGAACGCAGATAGTTTTTAATATCGTCTGATTTGAAAGAACTTTCACAGTCAGATGTCAGTTTTTGTTGGATGGTATTTGTCAACGAATATTGTCAAAGCAGTTTTCACATCTAAAATATTTTTGGACCATAATGGTATGGCTTCACAGTATCTTGTGTTTTGACCAACAAATATTAGCCAGTATGGTGGTCCATCTTCTCTATACCTCGGAATGTTTTCCAAGATATCCATAAACCAAGCATTTGGTGTTGAACTAAAGATTTTTACCATGAGTGCTTTCTTTGTTGCTTTAGAAACATACGGGTCCTTGTTTGAATTCGTCATTTTTAACCCATAAGAAATGGGTTTATTTGGCGCAATAGCAGGAGTCGCATCTAGATTTTTGCCCGCAGTGGGAACACTAGCCAGAGGTGCATTTGGAATTGGAAGGAAGATTTTGAGTACATTAGGTATACTGAAAGAGAAAGCACAACCTATTATACAAACCGTACAGAAAGGTTGGGAGGTAGCACGAGATGCCAGCAAATCTTATTCAAATCCTGAAACAAGAGGAAAAGTTCAAGGATGGATGGACAATGTAGGAAGACAAGCAGGAAACTACTATAACAAAGCAAATGACTACTATAACCAAGCAGGGCACTATATGGACCAAGGTGAAAGATTCTTTAACAGAGGATATAACCATGCACAACAGTGGGTAAACAACAACCAACCTCAACCGCCTCAAACGTGGGGAATGTAAAATTTTTTACTGAGATGAAATGAACAATACAGCTTTGAGACAAATGGGCTCAAGATGGATTTGTCGGCTTCCAGCAGTTACACAACCACGTGTTTGTCAAGTTCTTCCTATACCTCAGGAAGTTTTAGACCGACTTAAAAAACAACAACAACCAGTTGAAAACAAAACAAACTAAAATTTTTTACTGAGATGAAATGACCGAAGAAGTTGAAACGGTAGATTTGACACCACAAACAAAAAGTTCAGAACCATTGTCAAAACCTGTCAAAGAACTTACAGATGAAGAGAAAAATTCAATAATAGAAAGTGCCAGGTCTGGAAATACAAACTCTAACTACAAAGTCACTTTTCATAAAAATGGAACGGCTAGTATCTCAAAAAAGAAACAGACTCTCACAAATAAAATATTGAAGTCTGAAGGAGCTTTCGAGACAACAGATGGAAAAGTTTACTTCACTGACCAACAGTTCATTATAGAACATCTCATTGACTTAGAGTCAAAATATTCTAAACTTTACAACAAACACAAAAAGTTGAAAGGAAAACAGAAACAGATGGCATATGATATTTATGAAGATGTTGACGACACAACTGTTCCTGCAAGTGAGGTAAAGTCAGATGAACCGAAAAGTGACGAAAAACCAATAGAAGAAGGGAAGCCAAAAACTGAAGAAAAACCAAAACCAAAGTTTAGTTTCCAAACTAAACCAAGTCAACCTTCATTAGCTGGTATGGGTTGGCGTCAAAGACTTATGGCAGCAGGCGGTTATGTAAAGTAAAGAAAAAAAAAATTTTTTTATTTTTATAAAAATGCCCCCGTATAGAATGGATAGAAGGTCTGCTAGAATAAAAGCAGAGTTAGAAAGATATGGCTGGAGAGTTTCAAAGAAGTTTAAATATAGGAAGGGAAGACCCATAAAAGTCTATGACAAACTGGCTGGTCTGACCTATGAAATGGACTTGGAAACAGCACGCACAAATTATCCAAACAGACTAGAGAGGTTAGAAGAAGAGCGTCTTATGAACATGCCTTTCGATGTTACTGAGCCACAGGTTGAAGGACACGACGGCTTTGCCAGATTCTACTGGAAACATGACGAACAATTGCATCCTTTGAGAAGGAAAAAAGGAAAAGGTGAAGACGCACATGCTCCCATGGAAAGAACAAGATATGCATATGAAAAGTACCGTGAAGTTAGAAGTAAAATTACTTCTGGTCGAACCTTTACAGTAAACTTTGACGAAGGAAAGAACAAAGAAGGCTTCATGGGTGTACTTGCTGCCATACAAGACGGAAATAAGAAAGGATACAATCTCAGACTAACCGTAACAGATTTGGATGGTCATATTTACTATGCACATGGCAATGTCACAACAGCCGCACAACTTCTTGACGCTTTCAAGACTACAAAGAGAGAACAAATGGTTGACTCCGACTCAGATATTTTGAATGCAATTGAAGGAATTGCAAGCGTGAAGTTCGAATGGTACCAACCTAACCCTCAAGCAGTCAGACAACATGCTGGATACTTCCCGTTCAGAAATAAGTCTGACATTGACTTAACAAGGTATGGAATTTACAATTCAATTGAAAAAATTGTCAATGAACTTGTATTCTTACATGTCCAGGAACTCTGGTCTTGTTACAGATGAGAAGATGAAGTATCTTGAGTCATGTGTGAAACAAGGTACATGCTCAGAGGTCAATTGTCAAAAATTGCACCGTTGGCAAATGTCAATATCCGAGTCAACATACCTACAGCTAAAGGTTCTTCACATGACGACTATGTTGTTGACAAGACTTACCATGGTTGAAGATTGTAATTGTCCACAACCACTTCATGTTGAACGAAAGTCTTACAAACCCATTGTTCGGAAAAGGCAAGTGCAACATTGTCAGAGCTGTTAACATTCTTTTCGAGAAAGGCTTGTTGGAACCAATTCCAGATGACAAGCTGACAGAAACTTTTGTACCAAAAGACGAAACAAACTTTTCATTGTTAGTAAGACCAAAAGTTGTTCCAGACAAAGTTATAGCACAAAAGAAGTACACAGCTCCAAAAGGAGTTGGATTGTTCGGATACCAACCTGAACCAGAAGAACTTCCAATGAGGTTGCAAGAACTTCAAGATGCTATAAACAAACTTCCATTGAGACATCCAATTGACGTCAAATTGTATTGGAGAGCATCTGAGTTAGGTCAGAAGGTTTTATATGAAACAGGTTGCTTCGACGATGTTTATGAGATAGCAGGCGAAGTTTCTCAGAAGATAAGAGACTCACTTGAATTTCCACGAACTGGACCCATTGGTTGCGACAAGTTCGACTCAAACGAAAAAATATACTATGTCGACCTTAACGCTGCGTACATGAGGTTCGTCCAATATATCCCGACTGGAATTCCAAACGAAGACGGTGAGTTCCCGGGAAGGAACTATACAGTTGGAAAAGTCATACAACAACTGTATGATATTAGGAAAGCTTCAAACCCCAAACTTGCAATGACACTCAAATTGCTTATGAATTCGACATGGGGATATTCCATTAAAAAACCTCAAAAGATGAAGAGTAAACACTATGAGAAAGTCGACAACTTTGTTGAAAGGTTTTCTCCTTTTGTTTTGAAATACGAGTTCACCGAAGGTCAAAATGGCTTAGTAACCACAGTAAAACCTATTGTCGAACATTGGTCTTATCCTCAGTTCGCAAAGGCAGTCCTTGACAACTACAATGAGTTCTTCTCCGATGTTAAATCCAAAGTGAAGGTATACTATGAGAACATCGATGCGCTCATGACGAACGAAGAAGGGTACAACAAACTCATTGAAATGGGTTTAGTCGGTGAAAAGATGGGTCAATTCAAATTGGACAAAATTTTCACCGAAGTTCATGTCCTCTCCAAGCGTAAGTACTGGGGAATACTTGAAGACGGCACAGAAATAAAACATTGCATGAAATAAAAAATTTTTATTCGAATTTGAATTAAAATGTGGGAATTCTTGGGAACGGGAAAGGCTTATTTACTTGAGGAACAGGTAAAGGTGGTGGAGGTGGAGGTGGTGGCAACCAGTCCATTTTATATTCCTTCCTAGCTAATTTCCGTTTAATTTCATGGTCGCCCTCGGAGTCTTTGAATCGGACAGGTCGAGTTACACCATTCTTGGTCTCAAACTCATATATAACCTGTTTGTCTGTATTTTCGTCGACTATGGCACGAGACACAAACATTGACCAAACGGACAAAAAGTGTCATTTCAGATGGTCACGCAGCCAATCGCATTCGAGCACTTCGAAGAAGCCTTACGTTCCAAGGGAGAGGGTGTCTGGTGCAAGGCAGAGGTCATGAGACTCTACGAGCAGTACATCCTCAATGCCTGGGAGGACAAATCGTCCTTGGATTGGCAATTCTACCAACTCCTCTGGGACGACCTCCTACGCAACTGGGATGACGAAAGAGTCCAATTCAAAGGTCAGGAACTAATTTTGCAAATGACCATTAATTTAAGCTACTTATCCAACTAAAAACTTAAATTTACTCGGGGTTTCCCCCTAAAATAAAATTTTTTTACTCTTAGAACCACTCGAGGTTCTCCTTACGGTTGTTGAGCTTGTCACCGTCAATGTGTCTGACCTTCGTCTTCTTGTTTGGATTTGGAACCCATTGCATACCGACAAGCCTTCCCATGGAAATTGTACCGTAATTCCGAAGAGTAAGGCTCAAGTGTCCCAAGTTGTTGAGGACTGGGGTAAGAACCTTGCCGGTCTCCTTGTTGCGGATTTTGTATGGGTAGGGTTGGGAAATTTCATAACGTCATCGGCAACAAGGGTTGCCCAAACTTCCTTTTCTTCGTGTTTCTCTTCTTCTTCCTCTTCTTCTTCGTGTTTCTCTTCTTCCTCGAAAATTCCTTCTTCAATTTGGTACTCACGAAGTACGGTGTTGCATGTTCTGTCCTTTCGAGTACCTTCCAGATGGCGTCTATCTCTTCGAAGAAACGGTAGATGAGTCTGGCAAGGTTTTGGTTCTCTATGTTGTATTGGCGCAAGGTTTCCGCGAAATCGTTCAGGACTTTCTTATTGGAAGCTTGGTTCGTGAGGACTTCGACTTTGAGATTGGTTATCTCTTCCATAAGACTACTTTGGATAGTCTTAATGGTGTTTGTCAGATGAGCGTTCAATTGGGCAATTTGAATTTGAACTGGGCGCTTGTCTGGCAACCTTGAAAGGACATCTGCCATCGAGTTTGGCTTCGGTGCTTGTTCGGACATCGAAAAAATGAAGTGGTTTGAGAATGACGGTTTTACTTCAAAAAGCTTGTTATGACGGTTAAGTCATACAACAAGTTTAAAATAATATCTTTTCTTCTTCTGAACGTTTGTTGTCTCTTCCGATAAAAGTTTCGAACATGAGAACCAAAAAACGTTTTTTGAGATTGCGGAAGAGTTCAGGCAAACGTTCATATTCTGGATATGTTGGGAGCAGTTCGAAACATCTGAGCTGACTTTCGGACAAAATTGGGACAATGTCAACAAATTCATCTTTGGTCGGACTGCTTGAAGGTAAGTCCCTTACATGTAAGTAGCTCTGGTAAAGTCTTCTCATTTCTGCTAACTTTTGGAGTATAGCTTCGTAGTTTAGAAGTTTTAATTTTAATTGTCTTATTCCACTCTTGACATCTAAACGGTAACTATCCATGAGGTCAAGAGTAGCTTTGGTAGCTTTAAGTGGAGCTATCTGTTCCTTGACTTCTGCAATTTTGGTTGCAATTGTGATTTGAGCTCCTTCAAGTTCGCCGTCTATGTCGTTCTCAACACCTTCAACTATAGCTTGAAACTCTTCATCGGTCCATTGAGATTGGTGTGGGACGAATTTAACTTGCTTCATTCAAAAAAGAAAAAAATGTTTTTACTCAAAGCGTGCCATGTATATGGCTATAAGAAACTTACCAGAAGGCTTCTTCTTCACATGCGTAAAAACATAAAAAAGTGAAGTTAAAATGAGATGTTTACTGAACTGGCTGAAGAACTGGCTGAATGTCGCCTTCACAGGTTATGTAGAACGGCTGACCCGAGAAGTGAAGGAGAGACTGAATTGCCAATTTCATATGGGGTAGGGGGTTCTCCTTGTTTGGTATTTTTATCCAAGGACGTTTGTTTAGGAACTTAACAAGAGCTTCTCTTTTGGCGTCCTTTATGTCATTGTAGGCTGTCCCGACTGGTATTTGAATTGGAATTCCAGTCGAAGTCTCGAGCTGAAGTGTAGACCTTCCAGAAATAGAGATGAACTTGACCTTGGGCTTCATTACCTTGCGCAAGTAGTCTTTTAAGCAGTCGTTAATTTCAATTAGGTAAATTGCCTCGTCAAGTCTTTCTTGCATTCCAAGTTCTTCCATCCGACAGGAAAATATTTTCCTGTTGTTCGTCCGTAAACCATTCAAATTTTCGAAAATTGAGAACTTTTTGGTCGAACTTCAGAAAAAGTTTTTCCTTCCGACAGGACACAAACAGATGACTGACGTCCCACCAACCGAGTCCATTCCCAAACCAGAAGAACCTAAAGCACCAGCCCCTGCACCTCAGTTCCAGCAAGTACCTCAGTTCCAGCAAGTACCTCCGTATTACTACCAATTTCCACCTCAAGGTTACTACCCACCACAAGGCTTCCCGAACTACCCTCCTCAACCTATGCCTTACTTCCCCAACCCTTGGATGTTCCAGCAAGCTCCACCCCAGCAATTCCAATCTCAATCCCAATCGAAGAGAGACCAAGACTTCGAAGAAGCTCTGAACCGCTTACGCAAAGAGTATGCTACAGCTCCAATGGAAGATGACAGGCTTTCAGTCTCTTCCCTCAAATCGACCGATTCGACTCGTACCACAGATTCGGTCAAAGACAGAGACGACTACCTCAAGCAGTCTGAGAGACTCTTCATCTTACAGCCATTTACAGTTGGAGCTCTCAAGAACATGCGCAATTACGAAGGTCAGACACCAGCTGGAGACCGCAAAACAGACATACTCGCAAGAGCCGTCCAGCTCGTCAAGACAAAGACTGAGATAGTCGACTTCATTCTTGCAGCTTGCCCATACAAGTAAAAAAATAAACAATTACGAGTTAAACTTTTTATTCTTTCTTTTCTGAGTTGTTTAGAGCTGGTTTCTCTTGTAGGAACCTTTCGTACTCTTCCACGGTCATGTAATTGCGAATTTGGTACGCAATTCCAGGTTCGTTGTTTTTGAACCTTACGTATGTAACGCTTCCATCCTCCTCAGGGAAGTAAGCTTCTAACATCTGACCAAGTTTTCTCGGTGACTCGGAGCTCATTAAAAATGTCACTTTTTAAACGTTAAGTTTTTAGTCTTATTTTACCCTTTGTTTGTCAATGTAGTATTGGAGCGCAATTTCTCCAAATTCTCTGTGTCGGAGTTCTTCAGCATTTTCCAAGGTGTACCTGGAGAACTCAAAGAAGTTGTCAAGAACATACTGCCATGCTGCTCTTCTGAGTTCGTCGGTATTTTGGAAGTGTTGCACCTTCGAGTCTTCTGACATGAAAAAAATGACCAAATTTCATTATATAACTGTTATTTTTGACGAAGTGAACTTTTGCACTTCGTCAAAAAAATCCCTGAAATCATATCTTTTATACAAGATAAAAAAATAAAATTAACGTTAGTTTTTTTAAAAAAATATTTTTTATCTTGTATGTAAGAAACAGAAAATGACAAACACTGAGTTTGAAACAGTTAAAAAGATAGACAATGACACCAAAATGGTTAGAATTGGTGATTTAAACGTAAGATACTCAAAGAAATACAACAAATATTCTTTGTCAGACATTATATCTCCATCTGGAAAGAAAACATGGCATTGGGTTGGAATTGCTTCAACTCAGAAAATTTTGACAAGAAATCCTGAGCTTATGATATCGGTAAGATTCTGTGGAACTACAGCATATCTCATTGACAAAAGTCTTATACCAATAGTTTTGTTATGGATTGACCCAGTTGTTGGATATAATTTCATAACATATGGTTCATTCGATACGGAACGTTGCAGTGAAGGCTTACTTTACATCGTTCAGAAACCGAAGGACTTCAATACAAAGAGATATAAGATAGGAAGAACATATAATATAACTCAAAGATATGACAGTATAGTCAATAGAGTTAAGGTTGTGTTTGTGAATGATATGAGAGCTGCTGAAACAGAACTACTTGAAAAGTTTGAGAAAATGTATGGTGCTCCCATAAAAGGTAAAGAAACGTTTGAAGTAGATGAGATAGATAAAGCTATAAAATTATTTGACGAAGTTGCTGAAAAATACATGTAAAGCGTTTATTTTTGGTCTTTTGTGAAAGTCAGATGGCTCAGGTAGCTCTATAAGGTAAATTGTCTTGTCAAATCCTTCTGGCATTCCGAGTCCTTCCTTCCAACAGGAAAAGTCCTTCCTTCCAACAGGAAAAGTTTTTCCTTCCAACAGGAAAAAAATTTCCTTCCTACAGGAAAAGTTTTTCCTTCCTACAGGAAAAAATTTTCCTTCCTACAGGAAAAAATTTTCCTTCCAACTGGAAAAAATTTTCCTTCCAACTGGAAAAAATTTTCCTTCCGACAGGAAAAATTTTTCCTGTTGTCCGTCCGTAAACCATTCAAATTTTCGAAAATTGAGAACTTTTTGGCCGGCCTTCAGGAAAAATTTTTCTTTCCGACAGGAAAAATTTTTCTTTCCGACAGGAAAAATTTTTCTTTCCGACAGGAAAAGTTTTTCTTTCCGACAGGAAAAGTTTTTCTTTCCGACAGGAAAAGTTTTTCTTTCCGACAGGAAAAGTCCTTCCTTCCGACAGGAAAAGTCCTTCCTTCCGACAGGACACAAACGGATGGCTGACGTACCACCAACCGAGTCCATTCCAAAGCCAGAAGAACCGACAGCCCCAGCACCACAACAGACTAAGACTCAAACACTTACATTTTTACGCTTGACTTTTTACAATTTGAACTTTGTTCGCGTAGATGTGAATTCTGAAAGAAGTATGAGGGTCTTGTATGACTTTGTACTTCTCCCATAGTTCATGTCTGTCAAACTTACCTGCCATGGACTCTTTCATAAGTTCCATGAAATCGTCTTCGGACAATCCGGGGAAAAGTACAATGTCAGTAAGTATTCTCTTTACATCCTTACTTAAACTCTTGCTGTCTGTACACAAATGACAACTGAAATGTTAAAGTGTCTGAGCTTCTTAAGAATTCGACACATGTCTTGTTCTCTGTTCTTTAACAAAGGATGAGAAGCAAAGTCATCTAAGATAAGAAGACATCTGTGAGGGTAAGTCTTCCAATCGTAAGATTGCAATTTCTTCGAAATGTATTCTATCTCTTTCTGTTTGTTTCTGAAGTGTTTCTTCTCTAATATTCTCTGCATTTCCTCATTTGGGTCTTTAAACTTAGAATTGACATACTCATTTATAGCATTGTACTTCAAAACTCTTCTTTGGTACTTCTTTATCCAATCTAACAACTCAGAGTCTTTTATACATACTAACTTAGACTTTTTTATAATATCTTTGAACGAATTGACGGTTTGGTCAAATTGACCAGAAGTACTACAAATGACTACTAACTCATAGAATGGGTTCTTCTCATCTAGTTCTTGTTGTTGTGCAGCCATTTTAAGATAAGTGAAAGTCTTACCCGACCCAGGTGGTGCAATTAGACCTGTTATACCATTCTGAGCAAATAAGAACTTGTCATGTATGGGTTTTATCTGAGCATTTTCCAACTTCCTCTTGTTCTTATTTAAAACATTCTCAAATTTCTTGTCAATGTCAGCAAACTTTTTTTCTAACATATTTTTAGAAAAATTAAAATTTTTATCTTTTAGGAAATGTCTAGCGATTTCGCTATCTATATTCGAGACAAGCTTTTCGACAGCAAAACATCTGTCGACCATAAAATCTTACATAGTGTAAACAAGAAAGGGGAATTTGTTCTAAAGTTCTGTTTCTGGGAATATGACAAGAACCATAAAACCTTAAGCAGAGAAGTCTTAAAATTTGTCAATGACAGACTTGTTGACAGAGATGACGCCTCTTGGAGAGATGAAGTCCAACAAAACTTCTTAGAATGCAAAGAAGACACATGCGCTGTTCTTGAAAATGAAATAGAAAACAGAATAGAAGAGCTATTAAATGACAAAGCACTTTTACAAAAATATGGTTCTGAGAAGTTTGACATAACTCCACCAGAGAAGAAGAAGAGAGAAAAGAAAGAAAAGAAAGTAGAAGAAGAGAAGAAAGAACCAGAGCCAGAGAAAAAGAAATTTGACATGTAAAAATAAAATTTTATTTTTAGAACATTTCTGGGTCAATGTCAATGTTCTCTTCCTCTTTAGGAGCAAACACTGGCTTAGACTCTAAAATCTTTTTACCCAATTTACCTTGAACTTCAACTATCTTAGACTCATAATATTCATAGTCGTCTGCTTTCTTTGGTTCATAAGGTATAACAAGTTTGTATGCTTTGCCTTCTTTAAGGTTTGAAAACCTTCTGTCAAAACTTTCTTTGACTGTTAACAAACCTTCTATGTCTAAGTCTTCAAATTTCGCACCATTTTTAGTCACAATAGCAAACTTAACTGGTTCGATGTTCCAAACTTTGTCAAATGTAGACTTTTCAAAATGGTAGAAGTAAACATTCAAATATGTGAATGGGTCTAGTTCTTCTTTAAGTCCTGACATGTACTTGTTGACTGAGATGAATTTCGTCATCTTTTCTATCGGATAAAAAAAATTTTTTTTTAAAATTTACTCAGAAAAATTTTTCTTTGTATATACACCATTCTGTACGTCTAAAAGACTTTTGACATTTGCCAAGAATGTTCGTTTAGACGCTGTCATATAACCATACTCTTGACAATACTGTTTATACGAATCGTACAATGACCTTTCATCTAAACACTCAAAGTCAGTTTCATCTATGAAACAGTTCATATACACTCTTGTTTGCTTCTAACAATGTTTGTCTCTCTTCGGTATGTGGAATTTGTCTTGGATTGAACTTTGAAATATCTAATGTCATGAAATATGAGAACAAGTGGTTGTAAAAGTTAGGTGTCAAAGTTTCTGCTAAGTCGTCAAAATATTCTGTATCTTGCATATGAGCTTCTGACGTTCTGACAACTACATATCTTCTGTCAGAACTTTCTAACTTCATCGGAACGGCGTTGTTTGAAACCATGATGAAATTTGCAACATTTTCACAAACTCTTTGGTCTTTATATTTTCTTTCAACAACTCCAACTTTGTCTGTTATAAGACTCTTCAAAGCATCTGAGTTTAAAACCTTTGTTGTATCTATACTTTGAAGTTCGTTACATACTATAAGTTTCATATTCTCTATTGAAGAGTTAAATTTACCGCAGATGTTTTCTAAGTTTGTCATATTCGGGTTCGAATAGCCCTCTAACAGTTTGCATAAGATATCTGTAAAGAAAGTGTTCTTACCTGTTCCTTGTTTTCCAATTATGATGAGAGCAGTTTCATTTTTAGCACTTGGATGTTGTAAGATGTTTGCAAACCAACATAAGATATACTCATAGACTCTTTCGTTTCCATTGCATATAATTTCTTTGACATGGTCTAACCAAGCTTCTATAACATTTTCTTTCCATTCTACTTGTTCGTATTTATATCCAGTGAAGATAGAATAGAAGTTTGGAGAAGGTGTATAGAACTTTATACCACGAACTGAAAAATCTTCTAACTTTGACAATAAGATATCCCAAGCATCTAACATCTTCATACCAACTTGTACGACTTTTATTTTCTTAAGTTTCTGTTTACATTCTTGTTCTGAAACTATTGTCGCTCTTGGTTTGTTAAAGACTACATCCCATTCTTTCATGACATAACATTCTGGGGCAGAGTCGACATAAATGACTAAACGTTTCAAATTCTCGACTGCTTTGTTATAGTCTCTAAATGGACACATATTTCTGAACGCTTGGAAGTCATAAAAATCTGAAACGTCTATTCTGTACATTTTTTTATAAAAATAAAAAAAAATATTTTTTTTATTCTTGAGCTATTTGTTGTTCTTGACTTTGTTGTTGCATTTGTTCCATTTGTTGCATTTGTTGTTCTTGAGCTATTTGTTGTTGAAGTTGTTCTTGTAGTACAATACTTTCACCAGTTGCATCTTCCAATTCGAAACTTTCTGCCGTCATTGACAAATACATAGGACATAAAAGTTTTACAGGAACAAAGTTTGCGTCAACTAAGGTTAAGTTTATGTTTGCTAAAGTGTTTGAGTTTACTAAAGCTGAAAACTCTGCATTCGAATGAACAATAGGCAAACCAGCAGAGAAAGTGTTGTTTATACGCATGAGTATCTTTTGGTCATAGTAGTTTCTGTCGACATTCGAATAGCACTTTGAACCTAAGTTTGAAACAATATATAAAATAGGTGTACTTAAAGTCAATGGAACAGACATTCCTTGTATGACACCTTTTCCTGTTATAGGAAACTGTTGGTAGTAAAAACCAGATATAAGTTTTGTATTATAGCTCATATCGTTTATACTAAACTCAGTCGGACATCCAAACATAATGAAACCTGCTCTAGTTGCAGCACATGTTACATCCGTCCTTAAAGTATTAAATAAGTCAACAAAACCTGTTGGTGGTATATCTGAGTAAGTATCTTCAAAGGAGTATTTTTTACCATTCACAACAACAAAGTCTTCTGGTGTCAAAAGAGCAAAACAGGCTTTAGTCGTCATCGTGTTTAAGGTCAGTTTACAATATCGTCCTTGAGGACTTTGTAAGTTTGTTGTTATAGAATTATATGACTCAGGGTTTTTAGTCGTAATAGTATAAACCACTATGTCTTCTGCCATTTACTTAGCAAACTAAATTTAATGAAATGTTGTGGTCGTCAAATATTTTTATGACGTCTGGGAAACTATATTTTAAGTTCAACGTTTCACCTCCTTTCATAACGTATATCTTGTCAATGACATTATATGAAACACCACAGCAAGCAATGTCGGGTTCTATTTCTTTGATGTTTATATCGTCTGCCTCTGTCAAAAGTTTCAATAGTTCTTTCAAAATTTCATGAGGTGCATGACATATGAGTTCACTTTTACAGGGTTGTGTTCGACCAAGTTTAACATTATACCCAAAGCCTGACAAATCTTCTCCTGAGTTTTAAGTTTGTCTTTAAGTTGTTGGTAGTCGTTTCGAATATCTGCAACAGAACTTAAGTCTCTGCTAACTTCAGGATATGTTGGTTGTTCTTTTACAGGAACTATTGTTATACCATCTTCGTCTTCGTATGGTTTCCCCACTTCAACATCTCTTTCTTTGACATTGACAACAACACTTTGACTGTTTGTTTGAGTTGGTGAATTTAACTTCACGTCTGCCACGCGCCATTAAACCTTTTGAAACACTTACGCTTCTATTTTTCGGAAATGACATTTTACTTAGAATAAAAAGATGGACGTATTTGAGTATCTCTTCGAATTGAAGCAAAACAAAGTTTACACACACAAACAATACAAGTTCATTGATAGAATAGTTCTTTATACAAACAATGGAAAATGTTATAGAATAGCAGTCTTTGCTGAACCAAAATATTTTCATAAAGCAAAGAAAGTTGGTATAACTGAGATGGTGAAAGTTCTTGAAGCAGACAAAAATATAACAACAAAACTGACCGATATTTCTAAAGGAAAGTTTTTAATACAATATTATATCAAAACTGGCGTACTGTCAATATTTGACGGAGAGAAGTCAGTTCAAGAACAACTTACTGACCTGCTGCCAAAATCTGCTCGATGGAAGCTGTCGTTATACCAATCTGAGGAGCCCCAGCAGGTTTCATCGAACGAATCTTCAAAAGAGCATCTTCCGTGAAAAGTGCTATTGGTTTTGTAAACTTCTTTGCTTTCAATTCATTGGACCGTCTCTGTCACCAGTATATTGTATTTGAACTGTACCAACAGTTGAAATACCACCCATAAAGTCTTCTGAGTCAGCAAATGGAATGCCAAGCCAAAAGTTTGAACGGTCTCCATTTGTATATTGAGTGTTTTGAGCTCCTGTATGGGTCCATACTTTCACATATGGCATAATAGAACTTTGCATTTCAGGGTTAATGGTTGTTGTGAAGTTGTTGTTAAAGTTCATAGCATCTAATGTCAAGTTGTATGACCTCATATCCTCAACTGTAGAATATTCTTCTCTTGGATAGTATTTGCCATCTATGTTTATATGATATTTAATACCGGGGTTGTAGAAACAAGAATAGTCATTTATAGTTCGTCTGAACAGTACAAACATAGTATCTGCATGTTTCATTGCAGTTGTTAAGCAATATCTGTTCTTGCACCTGGGTCAGCACTTTGGTTTCCAACTTCACCTGCAAAGTCTTTGACAGATATTTGGTGTATAGGGAACATAAGTGGAACTGCAATATATTTGGCAGCTAAAGCATTTGAAATATCTGGGTCCAACATATAGACTGCAAGTCTGCTTTCTATTCTCTTGCATTCAAATTTTTCGCATGTGAACTTAACTGGGTCCCAAGCAGTTCCAGCAGCATTGAAGTAGTAGTTTACTTCAGTGTTGAGGTTTGAGAAACCAAAGTCTAAGTCAACTTTGTCTTTGCAAAATCGGCGAATGACGTTTGATTTGCTCCCTTTACGTCTGTAAGAGTGAATGGGTCTTGTGTTGGTGCAATGACTAAGTTATTTTTGCTTGGAGTAAGTTCGATAGAAATTTTTCCTGCCCAGTTTGGCAAGTATCTTAAAAACCTGAAGATGAGGAAAGATGACAAAGGAACTCTAAGTTTCAATTTTACTTTGGTTACTGCTGCTGCAGTTTGTCCAGAAAGGTTAACATAAACTCCTGGAACGTTAGGGTCAAGTCTTCTTATTTTCTCAATAGTTGCATACTGGTCTGTTTGTTCTCTAGCTTGTGGTTGTACTGAGTTTCTCAAAGCGAACCATTCATAGTTTGCCCATGTTACTGTTTGAACTAAGTCAGAGTTAGAATATATCTTATATCCCATGAAAACTTCTGGAGCATATTGGTATCCGACATAGAAAATTCCATTGCAACCTTTCTTGTCAGACAACTTGGCAGAAGGTTTTATTTCAATGTCTTGTTCCACGTATAAGAAAGAGTTGTCAATAGAAATTATATGAAACCTGTCGCAAGCAATATCTACTGTTGTTGAAGAACCTTCTCCAAACTCACCTACGTTTCCATAAGAAACAGCAGTTGTATATTCGTAAGTTCCAGGAACTATTTCTGACCTTCTAATGGCATTGTCGCATTCGTTATACCATTCGGAAACATTTCCATTCATAGCATCCAAAACTGTTGGCGTTATATTCTGAGCGGCGTACATTTCATATGAGTAAAAATATAGAATAGTTGGATTTATATGTCATAATAGAACCCACGTGGACCAAGCTTTACTTTCTTCCTGACTGAGTTTTTAACTCTTCTTTTTCCTTCATTGCCCTCTGCTTGAAGTTGTTGCATCTTTGCATTATGTTCATCTAGTATGTTGCAAATTTCCCATGTCCTTTTTGCCTTTGGGCTCTGGTCGCCCATCTCAGGTAACCTATATCCTAGAAAGAGTTTGTCATAGTCTGTATTTGAGTCTTCGCGTATTGTTTGCATGACTCTTTCCTGAGTTTCCGGTCAAGCTCTTCAAACAGTGCCTGTCCATATGGAATATGCTCGTTTCCAAATATATGTTTTTGTAGCCATTCTGGTTTTCTTTCCATGTTACCAACTATATCTTTTGTGAATGGGAAAGCTTTTACCCAATCTTTCAGTCTTGCGTCGTTTATTTCTGTAGTTGGTTTTATTTTGTCAAGGAACATGTTTTTCAATACTAACATTTCATTTGGTACTGTCCATTTGAGTTTTCTTAAATATTCATCCCTTCTCGGTTCATCGTCTGCAAAGTAAGTTTTTATGACATTTTGTAAACTTTCGTTTGCAAGGTCATGTACAATAGGTTCTCTTCCTTCTCTCTCCCTAACTTCTTTCTAAACTCTTCACCAAATATACCATCTCTATGGTTCTGTGTAGTTCTTTGAGATAAATGTTCTAGAACGTCAGGTGTTATATTTCCATCAGCCATGTTCATTTCATACTGGTCCAAAATATCTGCATGTTTCATATCTTTCAATGGCATTAAAGCCGCGCTTAAAATACCAGCTATATCTCGTTCACCATTCACTTCCATTGCGTCTACAACTTCTTGGAATTGTGGTTGTAAGTTTATGAACCACCTATCCGGATTAGCTTTATGACCCCATCTCATTGTAGTTCCATAGTCTGCAGAAACAAAAGTAGGTTTGTTTCCATTGGTTAGGTTCTGAATGAACTTTAAACAATGTTTCATTTCTATATGTTTTGTTGAAATTTAACCTTTTATTTTCACCGAGTTCATCCGAAGATTGAACGTTAAATGCTCGTAAGTAAAAAGGGTTGTTGTATTTGTGTACATTTTTTTCAGTACTTCCATTCTATGCTGAATATTTTCATCTGGTGTTGGAGTCTTTTGTATGTCGGCAAACATTTTTCGATATTCTTCTACTATGTCAGCCGAATTTTTTTAGACTCTTGGAAATATTCCATATTCTCCGCATACTCTTGTTGAGGGTCAAGATTTTTCGGCTGTTCCAAATCTTCATCTAGTTCTGTGAAGTTAGTTTCCAAAGGAGTGACTTGTTCGTTTCCTTCAGGCTCTTCTAGCTGTTGTTGCTGAACTATTTCTTCCATGTCTGGTTGTATCTGAACTATTCTTCCTGTGGAGTTTCTTGTACCTCATCTGCTGGCATTTCATATATTCCGAGACCGTTTTAACAATTTCCCTATCTACGTCATCCGCATTCATAAGCTTTTGTTCTTTCGTTCCGTCTCTATTTTTTACGCGTTTCATGACGAAAGTTGAATTGTCATTTAGCTCTGACATCAAATATCTCGGTAAATTCATCCATGTCATTTGGATGA